TCCCGTCCCGTCTCCCCTCGTTCATGATTAGCGAGCAGGCCTCTCGCAGCAAGCTGCTGCGTCTACGCGCAGAAGTCTGCCATTCTTTCGTGTTACAATTACTGCCGCTGTGGAATATGGTCCATTCAAATGTTTGTACACGGCCACAGATAAAAAAAAAAACAACATCTTGTGTAAATGGTGTCACACAAGCAAGTGATGTACCCGTAGTGGTTGCACCACGAGGAAGGGAGTTGAGTCCAGGATGTAACGCGTGGTGGTGGTGGTGGGGTGGAGAGAGAAAAGATGTACGGGAGAGGGAAGAGAGAATTGGAGTGAATGTGAGCTCAGTGGGAGAGGGAAGAGAGAATTGGAGTGAATGTGAGCTCAGTGGGAGAGGGAAGAGAGAATTGGAGTGAATGTGAGCTCAGTGGGAGAGGGAAGAGAGAAGGGGAGTGAATGTGAGCTCAGTGGGAGAGGGAAGAGAGAATTGGAGTGAATGTGAGCTCAGTGGGAGAGGGAAGAGAGAAGGGGAGTGAATGTGAGCTCAGTGGGAGAGGGAAGAGAGAATTGGAGTGAATGTGAGCTCAGTGGGAGAGGCTGCGTCAGAGGATCGACGCTGCTGCTGCTGCTGCACGGAGCGGGACGGCGTCTGTTTTCACAGTGGGCGGGAACAGGAGTTCAGAGTGGGCGTGGCTACAGGGAGTCACGTGGGGAGGGGTTCAGAGTGGGCGTGGCTACAGGGAGTCACGTGGGGAGGGGTTCAGAGTGGGCGTGGCTACAGGGAGTCACGTGGGGGAGGGGTTCAGAGTGGGCGTGGCTACAGGGAGTCACGTGGGGAGGGGTTCAGAGTGGGTGTGGCTACAGGGAGTCACGTGGGGAGGGGTTCAGAGTGGGCGTGGCTACAGGGAGTCACGTGGGGAGGGGTTCAGAGTGGGTGTGGCTACAGGGAGTCACGTGGGGAGGGGCTCAGAGTGGGCGTGGCTACAGGGAGTCACGTGGGGAGGGGTTCAGAGTGGGTGTGGCTACAGAAAGTCACGTGGGGAGGGGCTCAGAGTGGGTGTGGCTACAGGGAGTCACGTGGGGAGGGGAGGGGCTCAGAGTGGGCGTGGCTACAGGAAGTCACGTGGGGAGGGGCTCAGAGTGGGCGTGGCTACAGGTAGTCACGTGGGGAGGGGTTCAGAGTGGGTGTGGCTACAGGAAGTCACGTGGGGAGGGGCTCAGAGTGGGTGTGGCTACAGGGAGTCACGTGGGGAGGGGAGGGGCTCAGAGTGGGCGTGGCTACAGGAAGTCACGTGGGGAGGGGCTCAGAGTGGGTGTGGCTACAGGGAGTCACGTGGGGAGGGGAGGGGCTCAGAGTGGGCGTGGCTACAGGAAGTCACGTGGGGAGGGGCTCAGAGTGGGTGTGGCTACAGGGAGTCACGTGGGAGGGGCTCAGAGTGGGTGTAGCTACAGGGAGTCACGTGGACAGGGGCTCAGAGTGGGTGTGGCTACAGGGAGTCACGTGGGAGGGGCTCAGAGTGGGTGTAGCTACAGGGAGTCACGTGGGGAGGGGTTCAGAGTGGGTGTAGCTACAGGGAGTCACGTGGGGAGGGGCTCAGAGTGGGTGTAGCTACAGGGAGTCACGTGGGGAGGGGTTCAGAGTGGGTGTAGCTACAGGGAGTCACGTGGGAGGGGCTCAGAGTGGGTGTAGCTACAGGGAGTCACGTGGGGAGGGGTTCAGAGTGGGTGTAGCTACAGGGAGTCACGTGGGGAGGGGAGGGGCTCAGAGTGGGCGTAGCTACAGGGAGTCACGTGGACAGGGGCTCAGAGTGGGTGTAGCTACAGGGAGTCACGTGGGGAGGGGAGGGGCTCAGAGTGGGCGTAGCTACAGGGAGTCACGTGGGGAGGGGTTCAGAGTGGGCGTAGCTACAGGGAGTCACGTGGGAGGGGCTCAGAGTGGGTGTGGCTACAGGGAGTCACGTGGGAGGGGTTCAGAGTGGGTGTGGGCTACAGGGAGTCACGTGGGGAGGGGTTCAGAGTGGGTGTGGCTACAGGGAGTCACGTGGGAGGGGCTCAGAGTGGGTGTGGCTACAGGGAGTCACGTGGGGAGGGGTTCAGAGTGGGTGTGGCTACAGGTAGTCACGTGGGAGGGGCTCAGAGTGGGTGTGGCTACAGGGAGTCACGTGGGGAGGGGCTCAGAGTGGGCGTGGCTACAGGGAGTCACGTGGGGAGGGGCTCAGAGTGGGTGTGGCTACAGGAAGTCACGTGGGGAGGGGAGGGGTTCAGAGTGGGTGTGGCTACAGGAAGTCACGTGGGGAGGGGAGGGGTTCAGAGTGGGCGTGGCTACAGGAAGTCACGTGGGGAGGGGTTCAGAGTGGGTGTGGCTACAGGGAGTCACATGGGGAGGGGTTCAGAGTGGGTGTGGCTACAGGGAGTCACGTGGGGAGGGGCTCAGAGTGGGCGTGGCTACAGGGAGTCACGTGGGAGGGGAGGGGTTCAGAGTGGGTGTGGCTACAGGGAGTCACGTGGGGAGGGGTTCAGAGTGGGTGTGGCTACAGGGAGTCACGTGGGGAGGGGCTCAGAGTGGGCGTGGCTACAGGGAGTCACGTGGGAGGGGAGGGGTTCAGAGTGGGTGTGGCTACAGGGAGTCACGTGGGGAGGGGTTCAGAGTGGGTGTGGCTACAGGAAGTCACGTGGACAGGGGAGGGGTTCAGAGAGGGTATGGCTACACGAAAGTCACGTGATATACGGGAGGCTTGAGCTGATTTAGCCGATGGGGAAGTGTCGTGGAGGAATTTTTGTTTTTTAATCTTCCGAGGCAGCAGAAGGCTCGTGAAGACAGACAGAGAGAGAGACAGACAGAGATCCAGATGATGATCAAGCAGCTGAGAAGAGACTACGGCTACCTGGCGACAAGAGGCATTGACCGTTCCGTCAGCGCTGGAGGCAGAGGGCTCTTCTGGTTTGGTTGACAAAGTGTCTTCACGATGGTGATGATGAAGGCGAATATGATGGTGGTGTTTCCCCTTTTTTCTGGCAACAAAACTGACACCCTTTGCAAGGAATCATGTTTACATTAACCACAATACTTGCAGTCAAATGCAAACAAAAAACAATGCTCATAAATTATCAGAGTATTGTTTTTTGTTTGCATTTGACTGCAGGTATTGTGGTTAATGTAAGCACGATTCCTTGCAAAAGGTGTCAGTTTTGTTGCCAGAAAAAAGGGGGAAAACCCTATTAGTATATTTTGGTACTGGCAAAGGAGGTCCCATGATGTAGCTGCTCACCCCGAGCTCTCATTACTCTGATAGTGCGTTGTCTTTGAACTGTGCACCTTTTGGCGTCATCTGGTCGAACACCATATGAGACTAGGCTCTAAAGAAAGCTGCCTCTGGTGTGGACCAATCAGGTTCAAAGACAATGCATAAATTATCAGAGTATTGTTTTTGTTTGCATTTGACTGCAAGTATTGTAGTTAATGTAAGCATGATTCCTTGCAAAGGGTGTCAGTTTTGTTGCCAGAAAAAAGGGGAAAAAACCCTATTAGTATATTTTGGTACTGGCAAAGGAGGTCCCATGATGATGGTGCTGATTTACGATTCAAGTCAAGAGTCGCGTGATCTGCTCTGTATGTATGTTGAATTTCTTTTGCACCGTACTTTGCCAACCGTGCTAATCCGAGGCTCGAATGAGCATTGGGGCGTCGGTGTTTACCTGTTCACTGTCGTGCAGAGACAGTGGTGGAAATTGCACATTCCTATGGCGGGGGTGAGGCTATAGCAGAGGACAAACCGCTGTTGACTTCATCACAAAGTGGTGCCAATTTTAGCGACGCCGGAGAGATGATGATGGGCTGAGGACCATCCGTGACGATGATTGTGGAAGCGGCTGTTGTTAATGATTGCGATGAAGACTGGTGGTGATTGTAACAGATCCGACGATGAGGATATTGATGATTTATAATTCGGTGTGTGATTGGGATGCAGGCTGACGACGATGACGATGATGTTGGTGGTAAAGATGATGATGATGTAGAGAATGATTGGTGAAGATGGTGGTGAGGAAAGTTGGAGGCGAGCAGCCTCGTTTAGTCACCACCACCTCCACATCCACCACCACCACAACCTCCAACACCACCTTCACAACCACCACCACCACAACCACCACCACCACCACAACCTCCACCACTACCACAACCTCCACCACCTCCACAACCACCACCACCACCTCCATCACCTTCACAACCTCCACCACCACCTTCTCCACCACCTTCACAACCACCACCTTCACCACCACCACCTTCACAACCACCACCACCTTCACCACCACCACCTTCACTACCACCACCACAACCACCTTCACCACCACCACCAACACAACCACCACAACCACCACCACCACCTCCACCACCACCACAACCTTCACCACCTCCTTCACCACCTTCACAACCACCACCACAACCACCACCACTTCCTCCACCACCACCACCTTCACCACAACCTCCACCACCTCCTCCACATTCACCACCACCACCTCCATCACCTTTACCACCACCACCTTCACCACCACCACCACCACCTCCACCACCTCCTCCACCACCACCACAACCACCACCACCTTCACAACCACCACCACCTTCATCACCACCACCTCCACAACCTCCACCACCTCCTCCACCGCCTTCACCACAACCTCCACCACCACCACCTCCATCACCTTCACAACCACCACTACCTCCACCACCTTCACAACCACCACAACCACAACCTCCTCCACCACCTTCACAACCGCCACCACCACAACCTCCACCATCTCCTTCACCACCTCCTCCACCACCTTCACCACCACCTTCACTACAACCTCCATCACCACCACCTCCTCCTCCACCTTCACCACCACCACCTTCTCCATCACCTTCACAACCTCCACCACCACCTCCACCACCACCTTCACCACCACCTTCACAACCACCACCACCACCACAACCTTCACAACCACCACCACCACCACCTTCAACCACAGAACGGAGCTCTCACCGAGAAAGGCGCTCGCGACCTCCTCGCCTCGTGGCGTCTCCATCCAGAGGAGCCCCCGACTCGAGAGCTCGGCCCGTGGCGCCTCCCCCTCCTCTTCCTCCTCCCCCTCTTCCTCTCCCTCCTCCCCCTCCTCCTCCCCCTCCTCCTCCCCCTCCTCCTCCCCCTCCTCTCTCCCTTCTTCCCCCCTCCTCTTCCTCCTCCCCCTCCTCCTCCCCCTCCTCCTCCCCCTCCTCCTCCTCCCCCTCCTCCTCCCCCTCCTCCTCCCCCTCCTCCTCCCCTCCTCTTCCTCTTCCTCCCCCTCCTCCTCCTCCCGCTCCTCCCCTTCCTCCTCCTTCGCTTCCTCTCCTCCTCCTCCTCCTCCCCCTCTTCCTCTTCCTCCTCCCCCTCCTCTCCCTCCTCCTCTCTCCCTTCTTCCCCCCTCCTCTTCCTCCCCCTCCTCCTCCTCCCCCTCCTCCTCCTCTCCCTCCTCCTCCCCCTCCTCCTCCTCCCCCTCCTCCCCCTCCTCCTCCCCCTCCTCCTCCTCCCCCTCCTCTCCCTCCTCCTCTCTCCCTTCTTCCCCCCTCCTCTTCCTCCCCCTCCTCCTCCTCTCCCTCCTCCTCCCCCTCCTCCTCCCCCTCCTCCTCCTCTCCCTCCTCCTCCCCCTCCTCCTCCCCCTCCTCCTCCTCCCCCTCCTCTTCCTCCTCCTCCCCCTTCTCCCCCTCCTGCCTCTCTTACCTGACCCCCCCCCCACTACCCTCCTTATCGACTCACGCAAGGCCCCCCCAAACCACTACCTTTCCCCCACCCCCCTCCCCGCCCCTCAAGCTGAACTTCTTTCGCACCGTACGTAACCAACCGTGCTCACACCCACCCCCAGATTGCGTCTCTGAGTGTAGAGGCCGGGAGAGAGAGAGAAGGCCGGGAGGGGAGAGTTGACGAGGAGAGAGTGAGCGAGACTCGTAGCCTGAGTGCGAGGAGTTACGTGGGGAGAGGGGGGGGGTGCAGGGAGAGGGGGGGGGGGCAGAGAGGAGGGGGGCAGAGAGGGGGGGGTGCTAGAGGGGGGACCTCCCGACTGGCCAATGGGAAAAGTTGGATTGTTGAAATGTGAGTGTGTGTGTGGGTGGGCGGGTTATGTGTGTGTGTAAGAGAATGTGTGTGTGTAGGGGTGAGTGTGTGTGTGGGATTGCGAGAGAGAATGTGTGTGTGTAGGGGTGTGTGTGTAGTGGTGAGTGAGTGTGTGTGTAGGGTGTGTGTGTGTGTATGGGGTGAGTGTGTGTAGTGGTGAGTGTGTGTGTGTAGGGGTGAGTGTGTGTGTGGGATTGCGAGAGAGAGAATGTGTGTGTGTAGTGGTGAGTGTGTGTGTGTAGGGGTGTGTGTGTCATTGCGAGAGAGAGAATGTGTGTGTGTGTAGGGGACGAATATCAACCGGTCCTGGGCCTCCCCTAGGTCGACTCAGCCTCAAATGAGTTCTGTACCTAGTGCGGTGTGTAAACACCACCACTGGGGTCGTGGTGTTGTCCACACGCACACCACCACACACATTACCCCCACACAGCCATCCACGCACAATAACTCACACACACGTTGTTGTCACCCACTCTCCCACACTCTCTCTTTCACTCACTCAACTCCACGTCACCCACTCTGACACCCCCTCTCACATCCCACGCAAAGACAAAGATCCCCCCTGTAGTCTTAGCAGACTGTTGGGACAAGTGCTATATCACTAGCATCATACCCGACCGCCTTCGTATCACAAAAGTGGCTGTTTACTACGCACCGCACCGGGTACTCATTTGAGGCTGAGTCGAGCTAGGGGAGGCCCAGGACCGGTTCAGATAATCGTCAGTGATGTTGGCCGGGAATCGAACCCGGGTCGCCGGGTTTGTGTCGCATTGGGCGAACCACGACACTACCGCTCCACACAAACACTCTCACACACTCACACACACTCTCACACACACACACTCTCACTCACACACTCACACTCTCACACACACACACTCTCACACACACTCACACACACTCTCACTCACACACACTCACACACACTCTCACTCACACACACACTCTCACACACACTCACTCTCACTCACACACACACTCTCACACACACTCACTCTCACTCACACTCTCACTCACACTCTCACACACACACACTCTCACACACACACTCTCTCTCACTCACACTCTCACTCACACACACTCACTCACACTCTCACACACACACTCTCTCTCACACACGCTCACTCACACTCACTCACACTCTCACTCACACACACTCACTCTCTCACTCCCACACACTCTCCCACGCACTCTCTCTCATTCACACACACACTCACACACACTCTCACTCACACACACACTCTCACTCACACACACACTCTCACACACACTCTCACTCACACACACACTCTCACACACACTCACTCTCACTCACACACACACTCTCACACACACTCAATCTCACTCACACTCTCACTCACACTCTCACTCACACACACTCTCACTCACACACACACTCACACACACTCTCACACACACTCTCTCACTCACACTCTCACTCACACACACTCTCACACACTCTCTCTCACACACACTCTCACACACACACACTCTCACTCACACACACTCTCACTCACACACACTCTCACTCACACACACACACTCTCTTACTCACACACACTCTCACTCACACACACTGTTACTCACACACACTATCTCACACACACACTCTACCACGCCCTCCCTCTCACACACACTCTCTCTCACACACACACTCTCTCTCACACACACACACACTCTCACTCACACACACTCTCTCACGCATACACACACACACTCTCTCACACACACGCACACACTCTCTCACTCACACTCTCACACACACACTCTCCCTCTCACACACGCTCTCACTCACACACACTCTCCCACGCCCTCCCTCTCACACACTCACACACCCTCTCTCTCTCTCACACACACACACTCTCACTCACACACGCTCTCACTTACACACACTCACACACACACACTCTCACTCACACACGCTCTCACTCACACACACTCTACCACGCCCTCCCTCTCACACACACTCACACACACACTCTCTCACACACACGCACACACTCTCTCACTCACACTCTCACACACACACTCTCCCTCTCACACACGCTCTCACTCACACACACTCTCCCACGCCCTCCCTCTCACACACTCACACACCCTCTCTCTCTCTCTCACACACACACACTCTCACTCACACACGCTCTCACTTACACACACTCACACACACACACTCTCACTCACACACACACATTCCCTCTACCCTTTCACATTCTCTCTCTCCTCTCTCTCTCTCTCCTCCCTCTCCTCTCAGACATCTCGGCGCCTTCCTTCTCGTGACGTCTGAAGCAGCGGATTCGATAAAGCCGCCTCCTCCTACTCAGCATCATCAGCATCATCATCTTTCTCATCAGCAGCAGTATCATCATCATCTTTCTCATCAGCAGCACGATTACGAACATCATCTTTCCCATCATCAGCAGCACCACCATCACCTACAGCAATGCCATCGGCATAATCGTTGTCAGCAGTAGCATCAGCAACCTCAGCATCGTCATCATCAGCAGCAGCATCATCAACATCAGCATTACCAACATCATCCCTATCATCATCAGCAGCATCATCATCAGCATTACCAACATCATCTCTATCGTCATCATCATCAGCAGCATCATCATCAGCATTACCACCATCATCTCTATCGCCATCATCAGCAGCAGCATCATCATGAGCAGCATTACCAACATCATCTCAATCGTCATCATCATCATCAGCATTACCAACATCATCTCTATCATCATCAGCAGCAGCATCATCATCAGAATTACCATCATCATCTCTATTGCCATCATCATCAGCATCATCATCAGCATTACCAACATCATCTCTGTCGTCATCATCAGCATCATCATCAGCATTACCAACATCATCTCTATCGCCATCGTCATCAGCAGCATCATCATCAGCATTACCATCATCTCTGTCGTCATCATCAGCAGCATCATCATCAGCATTACCAGCATCATCCCTATCGTCATCATCAGCAGCAGCATCATCATCAGCATTACCAACATCATCTCTATCGTCATCATCATCAGCATCATCATCAGCATTACCAACATCATCCCTATCGTCATCATCATCAGCATCATCATCAGCAGCATTACCACCATCATCTCAATCGTCATCATCATCAGCAGCATCAGCATTACCAACATCATCTCTACGTCATCATCAGCAGCATCGTCATCATCATCAGCATTACCAACAGCATCTCTATCATCATCATCATCAGCAGCATCATCATCAGCATTACCAACATCATCTCTATCGCCATCATCATCAGCAGCAGCATCAGGGTGTGATGGGTCACTCGGTGACGTAGGGGCCGTCCATAAATGACGTCACGCGATTTTGGACGATTTTTGACCCCCCCCCCCCTCGTCACACGGCGTCACAAAAAGTCAGACCCCCCCCCCCCTCAAATATGACGTCACAAAGCTCTGCCCCCCCCCCCCAAAAAAAACACGCTTCAAATCGCTTTAAACTATTGTCATTGTAGTGCGTGTTTAATGTGGCGCTGCACTCTGATGTTGTAGGAGAAAACATTTATTAAAAAGTCTATTTCATTAAGTAGAACGTGTTGTCTATATCTATTTAAAGTTGCGCATTTTTACGTGACGTCACATTTCTCAACCCTCCCCCCCTCGTCACACATCGTCACAAATGTCTGACCCCCCCCCCCCCAGGTGCGTGACGTCATTTATGGACGGCCCCTTATTCACACGGCAATGAATAGGTGACACCTCGTCACGCCACCAAATTTGATAACTGCTCATCAGAAAACGAACGTCAAATGTAATTATCATCATCATCAGGTTTCCTGCATGGTGTCCACCAGTCCAGTCTCCATCGCTCGTCATCCATTCCACCTTCTGGCCTCTCTATTCGTGGTGCCATTAAGCAGGGCCAATGCACGAAACGTCGCCTATTACATACATTTCTTTCCTTTCGAAGGCCACAGTGTCTTTTGACGAATGCTTTTGGGTTTTATTGCCATTGGAGCGATGCAATCATCATCATCAGCAGCAGCGACTACGAGATGACGCTTGCTCATCTTCTTCTGATCGCGATCAGCGCAATCATCATCGTGACGTCAATGATTTCTTGATTATAATCTGATGAGCGACATCTGATCACTGACCTCACCATCGTCAGATCGTCATCGGTGGCATGATCACGGCGTCTTTGATCATCGTCATCGTTGATTGTGACGCGGGTCCCAGCGGTAACGCGTTGCAGAAGCTCGCGGTTCAAACCCGCAGGCCACCCCGCTCAATACTGCTTGGGCTGCATTGCCCAGAGCGTGCCACTAACAGTGGACGACAACGTTCCCGTGTCGTCATTCGAAACGAGACGTCATTGTGTACCCGCCGCACGGCCCGCATTTGACAAATTTAAACCATAAAATTACACCGCAAATTACTCAATTGGGATCAGACACAGCAGCAGCAGCAGTAGCAATTATCGCCGCCGCCCCCTCCCCTACTGTGAAACTACCGCATGCTCTCTGTCTCTGAAACGCAGCAGCAGCAGCATCAGCAGCAGCAGCATCAGCAGCAGCATCAGCAGCAGCAGCATCAGCAGCAGCAGCATCAGCAGCAGCATCAGCATCAGCAGCATCAGCCGCAGCATCAGCAGCATCAGCAGCATCAGCATCATCAGCAGCAGCAGCAGCATCAGCAGCAGCATCAGCAGCATCAGCAGCAGCATCAGCAGCATCAGCATCAGCAGCATCAGCATCATCAGCAGCAGCATCAGCAGCAGCATCAGCAGCGACGTCTTCCTGCGTTGATGATCGCCTCGTGCCACACAGGGGCAGCTGCCACTGGGGGTGACGCCTCGGCTAGTCCACACAGCATCGTCCATACGGCCTCGGCGTTACTGTGTGAGGCTACGCGAGACGCAGACGGCGTCTTCCCTGCGTTGATGACCGCCTTGCGCATGGAGGAACAACAGTTCCAATGCTAAATCGATGGACGTTGAACTTCTTTCGCGCCGTACCTAGCTAACCCAAGGACAACAAACTAATCTTAGCACGTGCACAAGCATCAACTCGGATTCATCGAGGGGCGTGGATTCATTTGTATTGAAAGCATCGTCGTCAGTATCACAGCGTCAGTATTATCGTCAACACTGGCTGTGGCATCATTTTCATCGTCAATTCTCGCGTCATGTAAACCAGCATCGTCATCATCATTCAAATCATTCATGACGTCACTATCAATGATCATCATCATCATCATCAACGTGATAAATATCAAGCAATCATCACTCATGAAAGGCACCGCGACTCCGCACAGATGATACAACGCGCTCAGCATCATCATAAACATCAGTATCGTGATTATAAATACCATCGGCACGGACATAACGCTCAGCAACGTGCACATAGAGGTCTCGCGTGACTTCTAATTGGCTCACGTACAATCCCAACATCATCATCAGCAGCAGCGTCATCGTGAATATCGACTCACAAATATCATGAAACATCGGCATCATTCACGCACAGGACTCGTGTGACCGTATGGAGCTGTGGGGGGCCGGCGTCCACCCCACCGCCCTCGCTGGGCACGTGGGGAGCGCGACGTCCACCCCCTCCGCTCCCTCCTCCACCGCCAATTGAGGGACACCGTAATGTGACCTGTCCTGTGACTGTGAGGCCAATCTCCTGGCACCGGGAAACCGCGGCACTTTCCTCCCTAGGGGCTCTTCGGATGAAAACCCGTTGTGCCAGGCGATCCCCCGCCAGGACACTACGTGTGGGCGCTCTGGGTGTGTGTGTGTGTGCGCTGCGTGTGTGTGTGTGCTGCGTGTGTGTGCTGCGTGTGTGTGGTGCATGTGTGTGTGTGCTGCGTGTGTGTGGTGCGTGTGTGTGTGCTGCGTGTGTGCGTGTGTGCTGCATGTGTGTGTGCTGCATGTGTGTGTGCTGCGTGTGTGCGTGTGTGTGTGCGCTGCGTGTGTGTGTGCGCTTTGGATGTGTGTGTGCGCTGCGTGTGTGTGTTGTGTGTGTATGTGCTGCGTGTGTGTGTTGTGTGTGTGTGTATGTGCTGCGTGTGTGTGTGCTGCGTGCGTGTGTGCTGCATGTGTGTGTGTTGTGTGTGTATGTGCTGCGTGTGTGTGTGTGCTGCGTGTGTGTGTACTGCATGTGTGTGCTGTGTGTGCTGAATTGTGTGTGTGTGCTGTGTGTGTGTGCTGTGTGAGTGTGTGTGCTGTGTGTGCTGTGTGTGTGTGCGTGTGTATGTGCTGCGTGTGTGTATGTGTGTGTGTATGTGTGTGCTCAGTGTGTGCGCTCTGGGTGGGGGCCAGGGGGGAGTAGCGGCGCTTGCAGAGTTGCTCCGCCCTCCTGGCACCACATAGCTCGTCATCATCATCATCGTCGTCATCATCATCGTCATCATCATCATCATAGATGTCAGTCAACCTCATCGTCAATATCATCGCCGCCACCACCACCACCATTAACATCATAATCTGAAGTCTTGTGAGACTAATCAGCTCAGTACAACACGCTTAACATCAACGTATCGTCATCGCGAATATCAAAGCATCATCATAACTATGATTCTTCCCGATACAAGCTCCGTGTCAAGACCGCGAATAGTGGAAGACTTCGAGTTTATAATTATCATTATTATCATAATATTGTGATTATGCGTGCTCAGAATAGAATCAGCATATTGGTGAATGCTTGTGGAATCCGATGAGCTATGAAGCGCTTTTTCCACAGATGTCCGGCAGGGGCACGGGGTCAGAACGTCACCCAGGTAAGCCTCACCGAGACCCACGACTCGTTTCAGGAAGGTCATGACAATTTCTTTTGCAGTGGGGGGGGGGGGGGTAGGCGATGATTGCTGCTGCTACTGCTGCATAATCCCAAATCGCGTGGTTTCATTTTTTCTAAATCTGCGACCAGTGACGGCTGGCAACACAAATGAAACAACCCCAAGCTACGGGAGAAATTTCGATTTAAAGCTTCTTTCGTGACTGCAGGGATTCATCTTCTTGGTTCTTTCGGTAAAGTCACGTAGAAGGGAAAAAATAAAAAAATAAAACATAATCAAATAATTCTCACGACGTTTCGGCCACAACGCAAGCAGCCGTCCTCAGGTGAAGAACAGGTCTGTCGGAAAGACAGCTGCCTTTCTGTTCTTCACCTGAGGACGGCTGCTTGCGTTGTGGCCGAAACGTCGTGAGAATTATTTTATTATGTTTTATTTTTATTATTTTATTATTTCCCTTCTACGTAACTCTACGGGAGAAACTTAAGCAGCATGGAGCGGCGTGGCGACCGCACGTCAAGCCCGTCGTCGGCATTCCCAAACCCAAATATCGCCACCGTTCCTGGAGGCTCGGCAGCAAATGTTCAACGAGCCTCAACTGCTGTCGGCGAGAACCACAGAGAGACCGTAAAAACCCAAATCGAGAGTTCTGCTTGCTCAGCCGCTCTGGATCGTACCGTGCCGGCCTGCGAAGCCTGCAGTAGACCGAAGGAGCAAAGCAATATTTCAGATCAGCTTTTGAAGACACAGAATGGATGAGGTTATATCGCAATAATAATAATGGTGCGTGACGTCATTTATGGACGGCCCCTTATGTACAGATAAGAAACAATATGAACCCTTACATTGTGTGATCGGCTACTGTCACAATCTCTAAGTGTGATGGTGCGTTCAGGATATCCATTTGCACGAATCGATGCGAACATTACACTGGTCAACAACAAAAAAAAAAATTTTTTCTGGCCTGGACTTTTGCAGCTGTTTTAGACTCATTTCAGGGTGCCGATTCCAAATCTGATCTCAGATTTGCTCTATCACATCTCACTTTCATGTTATCGGCATACCCCATTTTCATTGATTTTACCCGAAATTAACTCTGTCACTTATGATTGCAAGTTGTTGCGAGTCAGTGACTGCTTTAGTGTTAAAATATGGTGCTGTATTTTTAGGATAGTGTGTTTATAATATCATTTAATGTAGATATCCACATTTATTTAATAGTTTTCTTCTGCCGTTTTTATTGAAAATGCAATATTTGATATCTCAAAAACCTGATGTGATAGACAAAAACTGATGCCAGCTTTGGAATCAGCACCCCAAAATTACCTTAACACCGTTGGAATACCTTATGCCAGATAAAGTGTGTTGACCAGTGCAATAATAATACGTACAGTATATTGCATTTGGATGGCACTTGCGTCAACGCTTCAAACATTGGAAGGGCACCCCCAGTGGCAGCTGTCCCTGTGCAGCACAGGGAGGGTGACTCAGCTACAAAAGAGGGGGGGGGGTAGGAGTCTGCCGGTGGTACGGAGCGGACGATCGCTCCACGTGACCCCAATCGCATCGCGTACACTTCTGCGCTTGCGGCGATGCAAGTAGCCAGCCGGTGCTAACGGCGTTTTAAACGGCAGCGTGCCGGCGTCTGATTGGATACGTGAACATAATATTTTTGTAACTTCTCGATGGAGAGAATACTAAACGTGTACGTTTCGAGTGTATCGATGTCCCGACGGCGCTCTTGAGCGGCGAAGAGACGACTCTGACTCATCTTCTTGATTCTTTCGGTAAAGTCACGTAGAAGGGAAATAATAAAATAATAAAAATAAAACATAATTAAATATTATGCAGGGATTCATCTTCTTGGTTCTTTCGGTAAAGTCATCACGTAGAATGGAAATAATAAAATAATAAAAATAAAACATAATAAAATATTATGCAGGGATTCATCTTCTTGGTTGTTTCGGTAAAGTCACGTAGAAGGGAAATAATAAAATAATAAAAATAAAACATAATAAAATACAATACAAAGACGCTGTCTTTCCCACAGACCTGTTCTTCACCTGAGGACGGCCGCTTGCGTTGTGGCCGAAACGTCATGAGAATTGTATTTTATTATGTTTTTATTATTTCCCTTCTACGTGACTTTACCGAAAGAACCAAGAAGATGACTCCCTGCAGTCACGAAAGCTTTAAATCGAAATTTAATCTAAGTTGTCTTGTGGTTTTTTTCTTCTTCTAGATTTGAAGTTTTCGTGACTGCAAGGGTCCCATACTCTTTGTTTTTTTACGGTAAAGTCACGTGGGTGAAAAAATAAAAAAATAAATTAAATCACGACGTTTCGGAAGCTTGTGTTGCCTCCGAAACGTCGTGATTTTATTTATTTTCTAATTATTTTTTTACCTACGTGACTTCACCGAAAGAATCAAGAAGATGAACTCCCCCAAGCCCCGAGCCGTCATTTCCGACCGACGGCCAACGGTCCGATCGTCGCCACTCCGGCCGGGCGCGCGGGAGCGGCCGCCCCTCCACCGGGGCTCATCGGAGGGGTCGGCCCGCAGCTGACAAACGCCGACGACGATGATGATGATGTTGTTGTGTCATCTTCGTCGTCGTCAGATGCCGGGCCGCTGGCGTGAGACTGGGGAGCGGTGCTGAAGGCCTCCGACTCTTCCCGGCTGCCCTCTTCCTCCTCCTCGTTGAGTTTGTCGTGGGTGATGTGGACGCTGTGGTCGTGGATGGAGGAGGTGGTGGCTGTTGCGATGAGGTGGTTGGAGGGCGGGCAAGGGATTTGGTGAGAGATGGCGCTGCCAACACCACCACCTACAACGTCGCTCATCTCACCCACAGCATCACTCACGCCACACACACCATCACCTCGACCATCACCTCCACCATCACTCACACCATCCACACCATCACCTACACTGTCACTCAACCCACCCAGAGCATCACTCACGCCACACACACCATCACCTCCACCATCACCTCGACCATCACTCACACCACCCACACCATCACCTCCACCTACACCATCACTCACACCGCCTATAGCGTCACTCGTATCGCCGACACCACCTCCAGCATTGCTCAAACCGTGCACACCATCAACACCAACCCCTACAACAACCTTTACACCAACCCCCCCACTAACACTGATACGCCGAACGGTCACACCTGCTCCTTGAACACCTCCACCTCGACCAATATCACTCACACCCATCCTGCCAACACCACCGCCACCACGACCAGCACCGCCACCAACACCACCACCACCACCACCACCACCACGGCCAGCACCACGACCAACACCACCACCAACACCACCACCAGCACCACCACGACCAGTACCACCACCAACACCTCCACCACGACCAGCATCACCACCACCAACACCAACACCACCACCACGACCAGCACCACCAACACCACCACCACCACCAACACCACCACCACCAACACCACCACCACCACCAACACCACCACCACCAACACCACCACCACGACCAGCACCACCTATACCACCACCACCAACACCACCACCACCAACACCACCACCACCACCACCACGACCAGCACCACCAACACCACCACCACCACCAACACCACCACCACGACCAGCACCACCACCACCACCAACACCACCACCACCAACACCACCACCACCACGACCAGTACCACCACCAACACCACCACCAACACCACCACCACCACCACGACCAGCACCACCAACACCATCACCACCAACACCACCACCACCACCAACACCACGACCAGCACCACCTATACCACCACCACCAACACCACGACCAGCACCACCAACACCACCACCACCAACACCACCACCACCAACACCACCACCACCAACACCACCACCACGACCAGCACCACCTATACCACCACCACCAACACCACCACCACCAACACCACCACCACGACCAGCACCACCAACACCACCACCACCACCACCAGCACCACCAACACCACCACCAGCACCGCCACCAACACCACCACCAACACCACGGCCAGCATCACCACCACCACCAACACCACCACCACCAGCACCACCACCAGCACCGCCACCAACACCACCACCAACACCACCACCACCAGCACCACCACCAGCACTGCCACCAACACCACCTCCCACACCTCCTCTCCCACCAACCACATCTCTAACACCTCTCCCACCACCACCTGCAGCTCCTCCACAACCACCTTCTACACCCACGCCTGGCCCACCACCATCTCGGACACCTCTTGCACCACCTCCACCGCAACTCCAACCATAGCCACCACCTACGCCTTTCCCATTAACCACATCTCCAACACCTCTCTCACCACCACCACCACCACCACCCCAACGACCACCACCTTTAGAACCAACCACATCTCTATTAATTCTTCCACCACCACAACTCCAACCACCACCAGCACTACCAGCTACTCCTGTCCCACCAACACTTCCATCCCTGCTTGCACCACCACGAACACCACCACCCATGCCTTTCCCACCCACCACGTCTTTAACATTTCTTGCACCACCACCACAGCTCCAACTACCACCCACACCACCACCACCACCACCACAACTCCAACCACCACCAGCACTACCAGCTACTCCTGTCCCACCAACACTTCCATCCCTGCTTGCACCACCACCACGAACACCACCACCCATGCCTTTCTCACCCACAACGTCTTTAACATTTCTTGCACCACCACCACCACCACCACAACTCCAACCACGGGCAGCCCCACAGGAAGCCCTCGCTACTCCTGGGGCCAGACCCGTAGGAGCCGGGCCCCCCGGTGAAGCCGTATTCTGGGCCCCACGTGACCGGTGCCCCCCGTTTGTCTCCGCGGGGGGCGGCGTGAGCGAGCCGTCCTCCGAGCCGCCGTCGTGGCCGGCGAGCGCTGGGCCCGGCCGCTCCTCGTCGTTGGGGCCGTCGAGCCGCGGACAGAAGCTGAGCGACGCCGAGTTGACGCAGAACCTCCTGCGGCTGGGCCGGGGGCCGTCCTCAAAGAGGTGGCCCAGGTGGGAGCCGCACTGTGGGGGGAGTGGTGGGGGGGGGGACACCACACGGAGAGGGAGAGAGGCGTGTGTGGGGAGAGAGGGGGACACACAGGGAGAGAGGGGGGAGAGACAGGGAGAGAGGCGTGTGTGGGGAGAGAGGGGGGCACACACGGGGAGAGAGAGGGAGTGATGAGGTAAGATGCATGGGGAATGGGGAAATACAGAGAGAGACAAGAAGATGTATGTATGTTAAGCTTCTTTCGCACCGTACGTAGGCAACCATGCTAATCGGAAGTAGGCATGTGGTGAGAGACAGAGAAGGCTACACAGGGGGGAGAGAGGGGAAGAGACATGGGGAGAGATGGGGTAAGATGCACGGGGAAGACACACAGACAGAAAAGGAGGTAGGCATGTGTGGGGAGAGAGGGATACGCAGGGAGAGCGATAGGGGAGAGACGTGGGGAGAGACAAGGAGATGTGTGTGGGGAGAGAGAGAGTGATACGCAGGGAAAGCGATAGGGGAGAGACGGGGGGTAAGAGTCACGGGGAGACAGACAGATGGAGAGAGGCATATGGGGAGAGAGATCCCCAGGGGGAGAGACACAGAGAGAGAGGAGAGACACTGGGCGAGATGGGGCTGCTGTCAAAATGTGTCTCATGTGGTAGCCGGACCGTGTGAGAGAGACGCGCGGTGAGAGAGAGGGGGATATGTGGGGAGGTAGGAACGGATGAGACATGGGGAAAGAGAGGGAAGGGGGGGTGGCACGTGGAGCGAAACGTCGGACATCTGGCCCAGCGGTGGCGCGGTCACCTGGCTGCAGGAGGCCTCCACGCGCCACACGCCGCCCGACACGTCGTCCCCAAGCGCGACGGCGTGTGGGGTCACGGCCTCCGAGAAGGACGGCCACCCTGTGGCGGGGTCGGGGGGCATCGGGGGGAGACGGGTCAGGGGTCAGGACGGCGACCTCCTCCTCCTAACCCAGGGCCGAACACAGACACGGATCTCAAACTTCTCAAGGAGTTGGGGGCTGTGGGGTAGTGGGGGGTTCTTACATGTACAGCTCATTAAACAGAGCCCCCACACTGTGCTGGATGCCTGAGTAGATGGTTGAGTGGGTGAGTAGATGGCTGGGTGGCAGAGTGCCTGAGTAGATGGTTGAGTGGTTGAGTAGATGGCTGGGTGGCAGAGTGCCTGAGTAGATGGTTGAGTGGCTGAGTCGATGGCTGGGTGGCAGAGTGCCTGAGTAGATGGTTGAGTGGGTGAGTAGATGGCTGGGTGGCAGAGTGCCTGAGTAGATGGTTGAGTGGCTGAGTAGATGGCTGGGTGGCAGAGTGCCTGAGTAGATGGTTGAGTGGCTGAGTAGATGGCTGGGTGGCAGAGTGCCTGAGTAGATGGTTGAGTGGGTGAGTAGATGGCTGGGTGGCAGAGTGCCTGAGTAGATGGTTGAGTGGCTGAGTGGGTGGCAGAGTGCCTGAGTAGATGGTTGAGTGGGTGAGTAGATGGCTGGGTGGCAGAGTGCCTGAGTAGATGGTTGAGTGGCTGAGTAGATGGCTGGGTGGCAGAGTGTCTGAGTAGATGGTTGAGTGGTTGAGTGGATGGCTGGGTGGCAGAGTGCCTGAGTAGATGGTTGAGTGGCTGAGTAGATGGTTGAGTGGCAGAGTGGCTGAGTAGATGGTTGAGTGGCTGAGTAGATGGCTGGGTGGCAGAGTGCCTGAGTAGATGGCTGGGTGGCTGAGTAGATGACCAGGTGGCTGAGTAGGTGGCTGGCTGGTTGGGTGAGTAGATGGCTGGGTAGCTGCGTAGATGGCTGGCTGGTTGGGTGAGTAGATGGCTGGGTGGCTGTTTAGATGGCTGAGTGGATGGCTGGGTGGCTGTTTAGAAGGCCGAGTGGCTGGGTGGGTAGATGAGTCTGTGACTCTCTGTTGGCTGAGCTGGTACCCGGCGTCTCGCTAGCTGCTGCCGGGCAAGGGCAGAGTTAAGCCACAGTTCAGGAGGGTGAGGGGGCACGCGAGGATGATGATTATAATTGTGATTGCTCACCTGACCCGGAGTCGAACTTGCTTTCAGACCTGGGTTGAAAGGCAAACAAGAAGAGTTAGCATCGCACCAGCTCCGTGCGTATCAGCGTGGCCTGACGCGTTGCTGCGCACGTCACGTTAGTTTTATGTTCTGTAGATGTAGATGCCACTGGTTTCTCACGTTCTGCAGGTGTAGATGCCACCACCGCCATCTATTGCGCGGCGGTTGAACTTACGACTCTCGGTCCGAACAGGCAACTGGACATACGGACAGGTTTGTTCGTATCTCGGAAACTTCGTAAGTCGAACGTAAGTAGAGGAGTCCCTGTACGTTAAAAAATTAACCCGTAAAAAAACGGCCAATCAGTAAAAAAAAGTGTCACGTTGACAAAAGACAAAATAGTTCACTGCTTTAGCCCCCACACCGGTGCAGTGTTGAAGCGTGAAACCACAACATTTACAATTTTTGAGTTGTACAACGTTTCGCTGGTAATTGCATCCAGCTTCATCGGGCAATTCGCCGTGTCGGGTGGTGGAGGGTTACGACACATTTATAAATGACGCGATCTAAACCCAAAAACGTTGATTGTGAATAATATTGGTCGCGAAAGCCTGCCACGTGTGAGACTGTTCGACCATACTTCACCACGCCGGTTCACTGCGGGTTTTGGTGAAGGTCGGTCTCGCATGTCACTCGCCACTGCTAGCTAGCCGTGGCAGGGATGTGTGTTTTTATTCTACAATATTCGTGTACCCTTAACTAAATTGTAAAACGTTTATTGTTTTAACAATTCGATAAAATAGCACTGGTCACGTTTTAACTGAATTTATTCATTACTAACCATGCGTTACGTAACCGACAAAAACCTCACAAGTGTAAAATGTAAAAATTAACCCGTAAAAACAACGTTTTTCACTATAAATCCTTTATATGCGTGGCATCGGTTTTATTTTATTATTCATTTCTGTTTTTCTTGAGTAAGAGCTTCATTTTTATCACATTGGTTATTTTAAATTAAATATAAAAAAAAAATTCCTAAAAAGTGGAAAATTTAGGAAAATATTTTTTTTTCACGAAAATAAATTGTCACGCAAAACGAGTCTGTGTGCAAAATGTCAGCTCGATTGGATCACGGGAAGTGGGTTAAAAAACGACCGAAAGATTTGCACGGTCGTAAGCGCGCAAGCAAGCAAGTGAACTTAATATAAAGGATTTAAAAAGCTGAGCTAAATCGTCATCTCTTTCCACAAGCCCTTGCGCACACGATTGCTGAAGCTGTGTGGTTCTGGAGCTCGGTGCCAATGTCGAGATCTCCTGCTGCTGCTGCTGCTGGCCCCACGACGAGATGGCTTTAGCAGAGCGAGAGAGAGAGAAAGTGGTGCTGCTGCCGCTGTTCCTCTCCATAGTTTGGGTTGCATGGCTACATTCTTTAGGTCTCTATGTATTGTAATAGGTTTTTACCCTTTCAATTGGTACAAAAACTGACGCCTTTATACAAGGCATCATGTTTGCAATAACCATAACACAAGCAGTCAAAATGCAAACAAAAAGAAACAACTCTGACGATGATAATAATATGCACTGTCCTTGAAGTTGATTGGTCCACACCCGAGACAGCTTTTCTTAGAGCCTAGTCTCCATTGGTGTTGGACCAGATAACGCCAAAAGGCGTACAACTCAAATACAGCGCACTATCAGAGTATTGAGAGCTCGGGGTAAGCGTTTACACTATGAGACCTCCTTTACCAGTGGTATCTATGTAACTCTACGGGTCTCTATGGGTCTCTACGAGTCTCTATGTATGTCAGTGTGTCGCTATGGGTTTACTAAGTGGTCCATAGTTTGGGTTTCATGGACACAATCACACCACGTTGGCTTCTCTTAAGTGTATCTCTACAGGTCTCTTGTGTTTTTTTCAAGTTTCATGTATTAGGTATAGCCCTGTGAGCCATGCGGCTCTTGAGTCGGGTGCAACCGCAACAAACAAAAAACATGAACAAGAAAACATCTTAAAGCGACGACGCGCAACAGAAACATCCCGGATAAACCAGCAAATCTAACGGGTCTCTAATGTATCTCTACGAGTCTCTATGCATCTCTGTGTGGTCTCTGTGGGCTCACTGTACGGCACCACGGTTTGGTGTCGCATGGTCACAATGGCACCACTGTGCGCATCTCGGCCTGACGCTCGGATGGTGCGGGTCCTCTTAATGGGCGGTGGCGGTGGTGGCGGTGGTGGCGGTGGTGGCGGTGGTGGCGGTGGCGGCGGTGGCGGTGGTGGTGGTGGCGGTGGTGGCGGTGGTGGCGGTGGTGGTGGTGGTGGCAGTGGTGGTGGTTGAGCACAGTGTGGTGGTGGTGGCGGTGGTGGCGGTGGCGACGGTGCTGGTGGCGGTGGTGGTGGTGGTGGTGGTGGGGTGGCGGTGATGGTGGTGGTGGCGGTGGGGTGGTGGTGGTGGTGGCGGTGGGGTGGTGGTGGTGAGCACAGTGTGGTGGCGGTGGTGGCGGTGGTGGTGGCAGTGGTGGCGGTGGTGGTGGTGGTGGCGGTGGTGGTGGTGGCGGTGGTGGTGGTGGCGGTGGTGGTGGCAGTGGTGGCAGTGGTGGCGGTGGTGGTGGTGGTGGTGGCGGTGGTGGTGGTGGCGGTGGTGGTGGTGGTGGGGTGGTGGTGGTTGAGCACAGTGTGGTGGTGGTGGCGGTGGTGGCGGTGGCGACGGTGGTGGTGGCGGTGGTGGCGGCGGTGGTGGTGGTGGTGGCGGTGGCGGTGGTGGTGGTGGCGGTGGTGGTGGTGGCGGCGGTGGTGGTGGTGGCGGTGGTGATGGCGGTGGCGGTGGTGGCGGTGGTGGTGGTGGTGGTGGCGGTGGCGGCGGTGGCGGTGGCGGCGGCGGTGGCGGCGGTGGTGGTGGCGGCGGTGGTGGTGGGGTGGTGGCGGTGGCGGTGGGGGTGGTGGTGGTGATGGTGGTGGCGGCGGTGGTAGTGGCGGCGGTGGTGGTGGGGTGGTGGCGGTGGGGGTGGTGGTGGTGATGGTGGTGGCGGTGGTGGTGGCAGTGGTGGTGGTTGAGCACAGTGTGGTGGCGGTGGTGGTGGTGGTGGGGTGGTGGTGGTGGCGGTGGCGGTGGGGGTGGTGGTGGTGATGGTGGTGGCGGCGGTGGTAGTGGCGGCGGTGGTGGTGGGGTGGTGGCGGTGGGGGTGGTGGTGGTGATGGTGGTGGCGGTGGTGGTGGCAGTGGTGGTGGTTGAGCACAGTGTGGTGGCGGTGGTGGTGGGGTGCTGGTGGTTGTGGTGGTGGTTGAGCACAGTGTGGGGGTGGTGGTGGTGGGGTGCTGGTGGTGGTGGTGGCGCCGTCTGGTGGCCACGACTAGGTATTGCGTGTCGCTCGACACCAGCTCACGGCCACCACCAACACCCGGTGATGATCATCTGAACCGGTTCAGGGCCTCCCCTAGGTCGACTCAGCCTCAAATGAGTGCCTTGTGCGCGGTGTGTCAACATCGCCACTGGGGAGACAGAGGCGGCCGGGGAGTGGTGCTGGCCACCTACCCCCCCCCTCGTGTGCCGTGCCGGCCTTCGTAGGTGCTCGCTAACAGCACTTGCCCCTACACTCAGGCAGGCATGTCCAAAGTTCGGCCCGCGGGCCAATCACGGCCCGCGGTCAGATTTCATACGGCCCGCAGATTCGGTCTTATAATGTGTTAGTTATGGCTCGCCAGCTCTGTCAGAATAAATACATCATAAAACTCATGGAAATTTCAGGTATTCTATACAGCTTGTTCAATGTTATCTGACTGAATGAAAGGCAGAATTTGCGTTTTTAGAGTTGTTCACGTCTGCCTGAGTGGCTTATATTTGGTTACATTGTCATTTGAAAAATAAAGGTAATTGTGACAATGAAAATAGTTTTATAATGGTGTGTGTTTTCACGTAACTTGTGTGGTTTAAAAAAATGTCAGAAGGAACTATTGGCCCCCGGGCATCTTCACTTTTCGATTTAAAGCTTCTTCGTGACTGCAGGGATTCATCTTCTTGGTTCTTTCGGTAAAGTCACGTAGAAGGGAAGTAATAAAATAATAAAAATAAAACATAATAAAATAATTCTCACGACGTTTCGGCCACAACGCAAGCAGCCGTCCTCAGGTGAAAACCAGGTCCGTCGAGGCGACAGAATCTGAATGAAACAGCACACGATATATGCTCCAAGCTCTTGTGCTGTTTCATTCAGACTCTGTCGCCTCGACGGACCTGGTTTTCACCTGAGGACGGCTGCTTGCGTTGTGGCCGAAACGTCGTGAGAATTATTTTATTGTGTTTTATTTTTATTATTTTATTACTTCCCTTCTACGTGACTTTACCGAAAGAACCAAGAAGATATCTTCACTTTATCAAATGTGGCCCTCTTTGCAAAATGTTTGGACACCCCTGCCCTACAGTCTCTGTGTGTGTGTGCGTGGGGAGCGGTGGCATACGTGAAGAGCGCGGCTCCGCACACGAGGCAGCCATAGGTGCCCGCAGCGCTGTGCAGGGTCAGCTCCCCCGAGAATGGCCTGTGGGGACACGGGGGAGACACGTGGAGAGACATGGGGGGGGAGACACGGGGGGGAGACACGGGGGAGACACGTGGAGAGACACGGGGGGGGGAGATACGGGGGGGGGGGTACACTTTGAGAGATACAGGGGAGGCACGGGGGGAGACAGGGGGGAGACACGTGGAGAGACACGGGGGAGACACGGGGGGAGAGACACGGGGAGTACACGTGGAGAGACACGGGGGGGGGGCACGGGGGAGACAGGGGGGGGGGGTACACGCGGAAAGACACGGGGGGGGAGACACGGGGAGGGGGTACACGTGGAGAGACACGGGGGAGACACGGGGGGGAGACACGGGGGAGACACGGGGGGTATACGTGGAGAGACACGGGGGAGACACGGGGGAGACAGGGGGGGAGACACGGGGGGGGGGGGGAGACACGGGGGGGAGACACGGGGGAGATACGGGGACACGTGGAGAGACACAGGAACACACGAGGGATAGACGCAGGGAGGCGCTGGGACATGCGGAGAGACACGGGGGAGACACGGGGACACGCGGAGACACGGAGAGACAGGGACATGGAGAGACACGGGGGGAGACGAGGAGAGAGGCAGGGGGAGACGGGGACATGGGGAGACACGGAGAGACACGGGGGAGACACGGGGTGACATGGAGTCCTAGTGAGATGATAGAAGAGATGCAGGTAAGAAACAGATGCATAGCATGGCAAGAGAGATGCAGTAGACAAGAGACATGTCGTGAGATGAGAGAAAGGTATGCGGACAAGATAGGGATGAGAGAGAGATTAATTGGCTGTTTAATGTTCATTCACGTGCCAGTTTGCTTTGCTTAACCAGGGCGAGAACAGAGAGAACAGGATTAGCTCATCTTGCAAGGGCTGGTTGCGTCACCAAGAAACGGCAAAAGCCATCAAGTCCCGGCAACGTACAGCAAATTAACAAAAATTCAGAGAAATCGAACAACGCTGCACGAACGCAAATCAGCGTTAAACAAAAACTAAATTTCCCCCGAAATGAAATCGACTCGTCATGTTCACTGAGCAAGGGGGGTCAGAGCAGCCTGCGGCTATGGAGCTCTTGAAGAACCGCTTGCTTCGTGATTGTTATTTATTTATATTAAGGGCCCAACACCGTTCTCATATTCACCACACGGTGCATTGCAGCTCTTGAAATATTGAGGGCTTTTTATTTTTACCAAAAAATTATTGGCGTACTTCTTGTTACTTTGCTTGCAACCCCCCCCCCCCCGCCACCACCCATTCACGATGATCCCAATAAAATCACGAGCCAATATTTGGGGGGCGAGACCAAATATTTTTCCGTCAACTCCGGGGGGGGGGGGGGGGGGGGCTTTTTGTTACACGCTTTTATTAACTCACTCTATCTGTTGTATCCTCAAATCTTGTAACTCAATTTTAACCCACTTCCCAATGTGGTATCGACTGCAAACTTGGTATACTTATGTCATACTCACGACAATACTATATTCTATCATAAAAAATGTAATATATATTTTTTAACAATCTTTTTTACATGTTATGTTTCGGCTTGGGTCTAATTGTCCATGCTCAACTGACGTTGCCTGGGAATCGTGGAAGTCTTCCATTACGAGTACGGTACATTTCACTAAAGCGTGTTTAAAAAAACAAAGTCTTTTAAAATATCACTTATTTCTCTTTCGCCGACTCCCACGACGCCACCGCCACCTCACCTCTCCGTGCCGCGCTGCTGCGTCACGTGGAACTGCAGCGTCGTCAGCCTCCGTCTCAGCTCCTCGGGGGCAAAGGTCACGCGCGCACGCTGCTCCCGCCGCTTCACCTCCGCTAGTGCGCCCGAAAGTGGCACAAGGAGAGGCACAAGGAGGCACAAGGAGAGGCAAAGATTCCCCCGTGTAGCACACACGCACACGCTGGCGAGCGACACCGACGAAGGCCGGCACGGCGCACGAGACACAGGGGGGTGGGGTGGCCAGCACCACACCCGGCCGCCTTTGTCTCTCCCCCAGCGGTGCTGTTCACACGCCGCAACACGATCTAATTTAAATATGAGTCGACCACGGGGAGGCCCAGGACTGGTTCAATTGGCCGTCATCGATGTTGGTTGTGAGCGGGAATCAAACTCGGGTCGCCGGGTTCGAAGCGCAGTGAACGAATCACTATGCCAACGCTCCCCATTTATACAAATGCAGGAATTAGATCCCCCGTATGACCATAAATAGTTGGGGCAAGTGCTGTTAGCGAGCACCTATGAAGGCCAGCACAGCGCACGAGAGGGTGGGGTGGCCAGCACCACGCCCTGACCGCCTTTGTCTCCCCAGCGTCGCCTTTGTCTCCCCAGCGTCGATGTTTACACACAGCACCAGGTACTCATTTGAGGCCGAGTCCCAGGATCGGTTCAGATAATCGTCACTGGTGTTGGCCATCACCGGGCATCAAACTCGGGTCGCCAGGTTCGAACCACAGCGAGCGAACCACTACACTACCGCTCCCCATCACACACACACATACACGTGTACCCTTATGCCATGGGTGAAGAACCTACTGCCCATGGGCCAGATACGACCCGTGACTTCGTTTGATAGAGCACATGACCAGGCACTGGAGGCCCTTCATCCAGCAGTGGAGAGATGATGGCTGCTACTCACAGGGCAGTAGAGGACCCGAGCGGGGGTGAGACACCAGGCGGAGGAGGTTGTACGCAGACATGGCCGTTCAGACTCCGCTGACACTCCTCCTGAGATGAGCAGACACACACACACAAAGACAAAGATCCCCCGTATAGCCTTAGCATACTGTTGGGGCAAGTGCTGTTAGCGAACAACTTTGGAGGTTGGTACGGCACACGAGGGGGTGGGTGGCCAGCACCACGCACCTTTGTCTCCCCAGTGGCGATGTTTACACACTGCACCGGGTACTCATTTGAGGCTGAGTCGACCTAGGGGAGGCCCAGGACCGGTTCAGATAATCGTCACTGGTGTTGGCCGTGAGCGGGAATCGAACCCGTGTCGCCGGGTTCATAGTGCAGCGTGCTAACCGCTACACTACCGCTCCCCTCTTACACAGACACAGACGTACACACAGTCGTATACACGGACAAAGACATGCAGAAGTACACACAGATGGACACACAGATGGACACACAGACTTTCCCCCACGACCTGCCACCGAGAGTAATTTGCACTGGAAGAAAGTCTGAGAGAGTCGCTGCTCACGGCACCATTGAGGCGGTGATAATTTCCTGTTGAAAGCACCGAGTCGGTGGTGGAAATTCCACATCCCTATGGCGGGGGAGAGTCCAATCATACGACAACCACCGTTGACTGCTCCGCAAAGCGGTACTCGTTTTACCAACCCCCGCAGGGATGATGGGCAAAGCCAACCCACAACCAGGGATTTGAACACACGATCTTCCGATTGCAAACCGCTCGCTTTGCCGCTGAGCCACCTGGTTGTATGACAACCCAACAATAAAAATTATTTCAACGTCCTGGGAAGAGCTACAGATCTCACAGATTTAGCATCCGCCTCCTCAAAAAGAAAGTCGATCCTGGGACCAACCAGGACCGGGTGGCAACTCCACCCATGACCCTCGCGGCGTGGTGAGTCCCTCATCCAAGGGTCCGTGCGCATGCGCACCTGATCATGTGAAGCGTGCACCAGAACACGATTCGTGTTCGGTTAAAAATAGGGCTTCCTTCCAGACTAAAAATATTCATGAGTCTGTTTTTTTTTAACGGTTGCTAAAAATTGCATATGGCTCATGTGTGGTCCCTATCCATGCCTACCCCCACTATCCCCCCCCCTCCATTTCACAACCCCCACCACCACCCAAACCAGCCCAACCCCGTGTCCAGGGGAAGGGTCGGGGCCTAAAGAGGAATGGGCGCGGCATACACAGGAAGGGGCGGGGCATGCACAGGAAGGGGCGGGGCATAGACAGGAAGGGGCGGGGCATAGACAGGAAAGAGCAGGGCCTACAAAGGGTTGACCGTCTTCTTGGTTCTTTCGGTAAAGTCACGTAGAAGGGAAATAATAAAATAAAAATTTTACATAATAAAATAATTCTCACGACGTTTCGGCCACAACGCAAGCAGCCGTCCTCGGGTGAAGAGCAGGTCTGTCGGAAAGACAGGGTTGACCATGCCAACGTTGGCATGCGGTTGGAAACGTTGGACTGGGTATAACAGCACAACCACAAAAACATACAAAATACGACCAATTAATTTCTGAGCAGGGTTGAGCCTGGGCAAGGCTTCGATGAGTGACCACCATGCACCGCAGGTGCTTTGGGGACTTTCTTTGTCAGCGGAGGGCAGGTGCGGCAACATTCATTTCCCGTGGCCATTTCTACGCCGCTGCTGTGCCTATGCTCCGAACGTTACGCCGATTCTGCATGGTGAATTATGGTCGGATAACTGTCAGGCAGCTTGGGAGAAAATGACAACCTGCTTGCGGTCTTCCCTGCTATGTGCAAAAAGCACGACGGATGTCATCCAATTGTCGGCCGAATGTGCCAAAAAGTTATGCCGGGCCTGAAAATCAACGGTACAAAAGGTCCTTCTCAGGGCCAAAGTAGTGTGAATGTTAGAGCGCGTAAATATAATTACCAGCGAAACATCGTACGCCAATTGTAAATGTTGTGGGTTTATTCTCCAACACACCGGTGTGCTGAACTAGTAAATAATTGGCATGTTTTGTTTACGTGACAAACCTTACTAATTGGCTGTGTCGGGTTTAACGACACATTAATATTTACGTGATCTAACCCCAAAAAGAACTCTATCATGGACAATGTTGGTCGCGAAAGCCTGCTACGTGTTAATTTGAGGACCTCTCGAGTGCAAATTTCTTGCTGTGGTTTTCACACCTGATGATGATGATTGCTTGTGTTGCAATCGAAACGTCGTGAGAATTTCATTGTTTTATATTTCTATTATTTCATTGTTTCCCTTCTACGTAACTTTACAGAAAGAACCAAGAATATGAATCCTTGCAGTCACGAAAGCTTTAAATCTAAATCTATACAAACCGTTGCTTTCCACTCCCCCTCCCCACCATGCCATACAAAAGAAGAAGAAGATCTAGGCAGCGGACTGACCGTTGGGCTGCCGTTGTTACCACGCCACCGTACCGCGCCACCGTACCGCGTCAGCCGCTACAGGCCTTGAGTGGGACTCAGCTCCTCCTCGTCGGCGTGGCACATTTATCCTCACGGTGAGCGCCCGCCACCTGGTGAAAGACGTCATAATCCCTCACTTGCAATGAACAAGTTCGCATTGGGTTTCCACCTGGTCACGGCATTTTAAATGAGTGCGTGACGCAAGCTTTAAACGCCCATGGGCATGTCGCCGCCACCACCAGCAGCACCACGGGAAGGGTGAGTAGAGTGGGATGTTGGCTATCAACAACAAGGCAACTCCTATGACTAACTGGGAGTGGGACGCAAGCGTAGGATTGATCACCCTTTCGCTGGCCGCCTTTGGGGAGGGTGTATAGTGTGAAAGGCCGAAACACCCTAGGAACCAAAGGGTCACTACTGACGATGCGCTCCCCAAATTTCACCAGGCTCACTGTTCATGAACTCTTGGAAGTGCTTGCACAAAGGATAGTAACATCTGATCCTGTGTTCTTGGAATCTAGATCAGAATCAGAATTGTATTTATACTGCAGGAGGAATCCGAAGAGCTGTGAGGCTCTTTTTCACAGATGTCCAGTAGGGGCACGGGGTATGAACGTTACAACAACAAACAATTCAAACCCCACGAATAGGAGTACAAAGTACAAGAAAGACAAACAAATAACCCCAAAACATACAAATTAAGCTAAACCATCCCCACCCTACCAGGCAAATCCCACTGAGGTATGCATTTTATTTTCAGACCTGGCCACAAATGATGCTCAAGAGGGTAGCGGACTGAGGGGGGGGGGGGGCGGCAGGGGGGGCAGGGGGGGGGGCAAGGTGATTGGGAGAGGGGAGGGAGATCAGGGCTCAAGTCAAAGAGGAGAGTAGCAGGGAGAGAGGAGGAGGAAGAAGGCCGGGAAGGAAGCCGGGGATGAGGGGAGACAATGTCTTGGTACCAGAGGGCGATGCTGGTGATGAGAGGGGGAGGGAAGAGAGGCAGATGACGGGGAGCTCTGCACGCTGATATGAGCTACCCGTCGGAGGCCGTCGGACTGCGAGAAGAGCTGCGTGCAGAACGAGAGAGAGCGAGAGAGTGAGCGAGAGAGCGAGAGAGTGAGCGAGAGAGTGAGCCGAGAGAGTGAGCGAGAGAGTGAGAGAGAGAGTGACCGAGAGAGTGAGCGAGAGGTGGGGGTTTACATAAAACAAAGTTATAAAAAAAAACGAAATGATGAACGAAGCAAAGTGCCGACTACACCGAGCATCTTCTTGTTTCCACTGATCGTAAAAACAAGAGAGGGAGAGAGAAGGAGCAAGCAAGAGCTGCATGGGAGAGCAGTGTGTTTTCACAAGGGGGGCACGATTCAGAACGGCGGAGGTTGCCGTACAGAAGTCACATCAATTAGAGATGCGTAGAGGCTGGGTGCAATGTGGACTTCAGTTTTGCCCAATGCTGACCAGCTGGGTCAAAAACTTAACAAATGAATGAGTGAATGGAACGGAAAGCTCTAGATTTGAAAGCTTTCGTGACTGCAAGGATTCATATTCTTAGGTTTTTTCGGTAAAGTCACGTAGGTAAAACATTAAATTAATAAAAGTAAAATAAAATAAAAATCACGACTGTCGTGATTTTATTTTAATGTTTTACCTACGTGACTTTACCGAGAAAACCTAAGAATAGGAACGGAAAGCGTCTGAGAGAACACGTACCTTGCGGTGAAATCAGCCCAGCGTTTGCAGGTGCCGGGCTGGCTTGTCAATATTATTGCATCGGCAGGATCGTGAGAGATGGTATCGGCAGCTTGGGAAGGAAGGCGGAGAAACCCTTCGTCCAGCAGTGGATCGACCAAGGCTTCGGCTGCTGCTCGCGGCACACCACATCAAGAATCGCAACCTTCGCACGTGACGAGAGGGGCTGCCGCGGTGCATGTGCACAGACTGTGGGGAACGGTAGCGTAGTAGCGATTAGCGCGCTGCGCTACGAACCCCCGACAACACGACCTCACGGCCACCAACATCAGTGACGATTATATGAATCGGTCCTGGGCCTCCCCTAGGTCGACTCGGCCTCAACATTTGTACCCGGCGCGGTGTGTAACGAAATCAGCACTTGGGGAGACAAAGGCAGTCGGGCGTGGTGCTGGCCACCCACCCCCTCGTGTGCCAAAGTGCCTGCCTTCATACGTGCTGCTCGCTAACAGCACTTGCCCCAACAGTCTGTTACGGCTATACGGGGGGTCTTTCCCTTTGGTGTTTGTATGATCTCTCGCCACAGCTCATTGCAACGATTTTGCTCTTTGCTGCCATAAAAGGCCATCGGCATTCCTGCTACCCCCGTGTCGTCCCTCCTGTGACTTAAACACACACACCACACACACTGACATAGCACGGCTGTAACGCTGTAAAGCGTGTGTCTGAGTTTCTTTAAACAAAAAAAACTTGTATTTTACCAGCTAAGGCCCACTGAGCAACGAGGCTTTTTTCAGAAGAGACGTGGCCGACAAATGATAGCCCAATAAAGTGGCTTGTCGTGTGGAAATGTATAACAGCCAAATACTCGAAACGCACGTTGTTGATTCTAAATGTGGAGGGGAAAACCGGAGGACCCTGAGAAGAAGAATCTGAGCGACCACGGGGAGAAACACACGCAAACTCCAAATATACAGCAGCAGGCATCGTCAGGGTCGGGATAGAACCCACGACCTCCTGTACACCAGGCGAGGTAGTTAACATCTCCTAGCCACCGCGGCGCGATCATGTGATTTGTAACACGGGTGGACCCGGCAATTCTATGCGCGAGATCTGCGGTGCTTCGGTGAGAGCACCTCCGATGACCACGGTTCGCTGCGTACGGTGTGAAAGAAGTTCAACATACGTACAGCGGAGAATGAATACGGTACAGAGTGCTCAAGGAATGTTGCACAGCGGACGCGCGAGGTGTTTGACGGTCGTAAACGAAACACGCGAGTTACAAAATGAACACCCAGTTTAAATATGAGAGCAAGAGGCGACAGAAAAGGTTTATAGGCAGTGGCGGATGATCCTAGCAGCAAAAGTAGCTACATATGCCACGTGCCCCGCACTTTCAAGGGCCCCGCGCTAAATGCTTTCAAGCTATCAATTCCGGTTCAGTGGTTCTGCACTTGCTGTATTACTATAGTACTATAACGCCTTCGACTTTTAAGTCTTGATTTGAAGCTTTCGTGACTGCAGGAATCTATGCTCTTTGGTTCTTTCGGTAAAGTCACGTGGGTAGAAATAATATAAGATAAATCACGACGTTTCGGACGCAGCAGACATCGCAGCTGTCGCGACTTTAACCTGAAGACGGACGCTTGTGTTGCGTTCGAAACGTCGGGATTAATTGTATTTTGTTTCTACCTGCGTGACTTTACCGAAAGAACCAAAGAGTATGGGCGTTTAAGGTTAGCGATTTGTCGTATTACCTGGCTGTGTAGCAAATAAAAAAATACAATTACTTTACTATGCAAATTTCGATTTAAAGCTTTCGTGACTGCAGGGATTCATCTTCTTGGTTCTTTCGGTAAAGTCACGTAGAAGGGAAATAATAAAATAATAACAATAAAACATAGTAAGTTAAAAATGTGTGTTTTAATATGCATGTGTGTTTGGTGGTTTATTTAGGGCCCCTTTGTAACATACACTACAGACCCCCACACTGGCTTCATCCGGCACTGCTTATAGGAACAGGTGAAAGCAAAGCTCTGTGTTTTAGTCCAAGTGACAAACACGCGCCAACATGTTTACAAAGACAAAGATCCCCGCAAGAGACTTTTAACAGACCGCCGGGGCAAGTGCTGTTTAGAGAGTAGCACCTACGAAGGCCAGAAAGGCACACGAGGGGGTGGGTGGCCAGCACCACGCCCGGCCGCCTTTGTCTCCCACGATGCGATGTTTACACATCGCACCGGGTACTCATTTGAGGCTGAGTCGACCTAAGGGGAGGCCCAGGACCGGTTCAGACTCGAACTCGGTTAAGCCGGCTTCGTAGTGCAGCGCGCTAACCAGTGCGCCACCGCTCCCCACGTGTAACTCTTCACGCATGGACTTACACGTGAACTAACTAGTGCGGACACGTGTATAGGATACATGCGCAGCCCTGCAATTCCCTACCCACGCCACTGTTGCTGGAAGGGTAGTCCCTCTAGATTCGCTATATACATACATACTGTCAAATGTATACTGTAATAATATACTGCAGCGCATACACAGTGATGAAAAAAATGTTGGAACATATGAGACCGTGATTGATATGTCAAAACGTACTTCAGGTAATGCTTATAATTATATTGCAAAACGTACTGTGACTGATGCATGCACACTGGAGGTAATACACAGGCACCTACTGTTGACACACGCCTGTAACATGTGATATTCTGTTACACTTAACATATACAGTATACTATAACATATAGACTGTTACATATACTGCAAGACATGTACTGTCACACACACACACGCGTGTTACTGTTAACAACATGCTGTTAAACGTGTACCGTCACAAATACTGTAATACAAACTACAACTCGTAGACTGTAACATATATACTGTGAGCAGTATGATCAAACAAGGCGGCGTTGTGAGCGCAATCTGTGTGTGGCTTAATCCGCGCAAACCCCTCGAGACTCCGTGCGATGTTCACATCGACATTCACCACCATCCCCAAACCATCTCACCTCGGCGCTCGCTGACAGCCAGATGATGATGATGTTGATGTCGTTGTTGGTGATGTTGATGATTGTGTCGTTGGTGATGCCAGCGATGATGATGCTGCTGGTGTTGGTGATGATGATAGTGGTGATGATAAATGAACGATGATTGGTTGTGATGATTATGTTGATGGTAATGTTGGTGGTGATTGTGATGGTGGTGGTGTTGACGATTGTGGTGATGGTGGTGATGATGTTGGTGATGGTGGTGAGGATGACCGTGATGATGATGTGGTGATAGTGTGATGTTCGTGGTGACGTTGGTGATGATGATTGTGGTGGTTGATGGTGATGAGGATGTTGGTGGTGATGATGGTGATGGAGTATTAACCGAAGCGGTCAGGAATTGCGCTCTGGTTTGACAGTAGCAGAAATAATAATATAAGAAAAAAAATCTGCGGGAATGACGATGGTGATAATTTCAGATGCAGACCCACTTGAGCCACCTTGCGGTCAAATTTTATAATTACAATTCTAAGTTGGTGGTCTCCGCATATACCGAATAATAAGACGCACCGTGTCTCAGTGAAGTCACACAGATCTGGCCACACACACACACCAATCGGATTATAAGACGCACCGCCAATGTTTGCTGTACAATTCATGGGGATAAAGTACGTCCTTATGATACGGCGAATAAATTTTGATTTAAAGCTTTCGTGACTGCAGGGATTCATATTCTTGGTTCTAAAATAATAAAATAATAATATTTCCCTTCTACGTGACTTTACCGAAAGAACCAAGAATATACGGCGAATACGTTAAATACAAATGCATCTGATAATTGTTTTTTTACTGCGAAAAACGTGGCAGGACCCTCCTGCAAAAAAGCGTTGAGACTCAGCGAGGTTTTCCTGCATGGGTAAACGAAATTAATACTGGCGGAATACGACACTCAGTCACTATTAGAGTCGTCATGGTTCAATGTCAATGCCAGAGGCACAGATAGGGAGATCAAGTCACGCCTCTGATTATTTCATTCGGTATTAAAAATTAACCCGTAAAACAAAGTTTTCACTCTAAATCCTTTACATGCGTGGCGGCTAGAGTCCTCTCGTCCTCTGGCTTGAGATGGCTGCCACCTATGGGTCACATGATTGCCTGCCACCATTAAGCAATTGGTAATTACATATAAAAAAAATTCCTAAAAAGTGTAACATTTTGGAATTTTTTTTCACGAAAATTAATTGTCACGCACAACGAGTCTGTGTGCAAAATGTCAGCTCGGTTGGATCACGGGAAGTGGGTAAAAACACGACCGAAAGATTTGCACGGTTGTAAGCGCGCAAGCAAGCAAGCGAAATTAATATAAAGGATTTAAAAATCATTATTTTCGTAGAACCTGCATACCAGCACAATTAACCCACCTGCATTTCCTACCTTAATAGGTGTGGCACAAGCTGACGACCCAGCCACATGTTGGTACCCTAGAGGTCCCATCGGCCCTCATTACAAATGTCACGGGACATCCATCCGCCTCATAATATTTACACGCAAACTATGAACGCTGCCATTCCTCTCACTGTGGGAATATTAGTGTTTGTTTACAGCGTATTCTCCCGTGTATGACACCCTCTCGGATAGGAAGGCGCAACTCCAGGCAAGGCCGTAATTATGACACAGTAAATATTGAGGAGGACACATTCACCCCAATATTCAAATATGCTCAAAATGTTTCCACCCCCAATATCTTACCTATAAAATAGATTTCTGTTTATATGATTGTGGTTATGGTTGTACTTTATCAATCCCTAATCTCTGCCATTACATACAATGAAACAAGAAAAGGTAAAAAAAGAAAAGAAAAAACAGAGCAATGTAATACAATACACTAGTAGACATTATTGTAGAAAATACAAAAAAGTCCATCCCATGTGTTAGTGAATTTTAGAAATATTTTTGGCAGGAAATGGCATGAAATTCGTTTTAAAATTTAGATTTTTTTTTCTGGAGGGGGGGGTCCCCAGACCCCCTGGAAGATTTGGTTCCCCCCCCAATGTTGACTCCACGGCTACGGCCTTGACTCCAGGTAAATATTTATTTTGTTACTTTAATAAAACATGAATGGGGGTGAGCGAAGCGGGCCTTATCATTCGCTCACCCACGTGCTCACGCGCCCACGTGCTCACCTGCCCACGTGCTCACGGTGCCCCCACGTGCTCACGTGGCCACGTGGCCCACGTGCTCACCTGCCCACGTGCTCGGCACGTGCCCACGTGCTCACGTGGCCACGTGGCCCACGTGCCCCACGTGCTCACCTGCCCACGTGCTCGGCACGTGCCCACGTGCTCACGTGGCCACGTGGCCCACGTGCCCCACGTGCTCACCTGCCCACGTGCTCACGGTGCCCCCACGTGCTCACGTGGCCCACGTGCCCCACGTGCTCACCTGCCCACGTGCTCACGGTGCCCCCACGTGCTCACATGGCCACGTGGCCCACGTGCCCCACGTGCTCACCTGCCCACGTGCCCCACGTGCTCACGGTGCCCCCACGTGCTCACGCGCCCACGTGGCCCACGTGCCCCACGTGCCCCACGTGCTCACGGTGCCCCCACGTGATCACGCGCCCCACGTGCTCACGCGCCCACGTGGCCCACGTGCCCACGTGCTCACCTGCCCACGTGCTCGGCACGTGCCCACGTGCTCACGCGCCCACGTGGCCCACGTGCCCACGTGCTCACCTGCCCACGTGCTCGGCACGCGCCCACGTGCTCTGAAATTCTTTCGCACCGTACGTTGCCAACCGCGCTAATCGGAGGCGTGGGGGAAAGAACGAGGAAATTAAATGACAACAGCAGCAGCGGCTCTAAGCAGAGGTCGCAAACGGGGTTTTGATTCCTTACCCGTACCCGTACCCGGCCGCACCAGGGTCGCAAACGGGTACCCGTACCCGGCCAGGTACGGGTACCCGTTCCCTACCCGTACCCGTAGCCTACCCGTACCCGTTCCCTACCCGTACCCTACCCGAAATGAATGACAAACAGTTACTCACCGGTGACTCACGGCCTACCCGTACCCGTACCCGGCCGCACCAGGGTCGCAAACGGCTACCTGTACCCGTCTGGGTACCCGGCTGGGAACGGGTAGCCGGGTATCGGGTAGGGTACGGGTATCGGGTACCCGGTTGCGACCTCTGGTTCTAAGTTTCGCGCAGTCGGCGTTAATTGTTTTTAGCGCGTCACATTGGGCGTGTTGAACAACTATCGGGCGCGTGCAGCGAGTTCGTTTAAATGGGGGAGAGGAGTAAATGGGGAAAAAATTAACCTGTAAAAACAAAGTTTTTCACTCTAAATCCTTTATATGCGTGGTGGCTAGAGTCCTCTCGTCCTCTGGCTTGAGATGGCTGCCACCTATGGGTCAGATGATTGTCTGCCAGTATTAAGCAATTGGTAATTAAATATTTAATTTGTTTTCCCTAAACGGTGTAAAATTTTGGAAAAAAATTTTCACGAACATTAATTGTCTCGCACAACGAGTCTGTGTGGAAAATGTCAGCTCGATTGGATCACGGGAAGTGGGTTAAAAAACGACCGAAAGGTTTGCACGGTCGTAAGCGCGCAAGCAAGCAAGTGAACTTAATATAAAGGATTTAAAAAACCGAGGACTGGAGGTTTGGGAAAGTGTCTTGTGGACTCATCTTCTTGGTTCTTTCGGTAAAGTCACGTAGAAGGGAAATAATAATACAATAAAAATAAAACATAATAAAATAATTCTCACGACGTTTCGGCCACAACGCAAGTAGCCGTCCTCAGGTGGAGAGCAGGTCTGTCGGGGAGACAGAGTCTGAGTGACAAGCCCCAGGCTTGGAGCGACTATTTCAGCTGTCCGTCACGACAACTCGAATCGAGATGTAAAATGTGTCGCTATAATTATTTGATTCTTTCGGTTAAGTCACGTCTAAAGATAAAATAATAAATTAGACGTGACTTAACCGAAAGAACCAAATAATAATTTCCTGCAGTCACGAAAGTTCTAAAATTAAATTGTGTCGCTATAAATTGTTGAGGTTATCCATTTTGCGGTCACCAGGTCGCTTCGGAAAAATAAGTTAACACTATTTTTATTATTTTATTACTTCCCTTCTACGTGACTTTACCGAAAGAACCAAGAAGATGAATCCCTGCAGTCACGAAAGCTTTAAATCGAAACTCTCAGCGGGATTTTACCTGGTAAGATACAAAATATATATACTCTCGTGTTATCGATATATATTTTAAAATGAATTGTTTACCTTTCCTATACTTTGCACTCCCATCCGTTTTGTTTATTTTGTAGCCGTTGTTAACGCTGTGGCCCGCTTCAGAGCTCATCGGATTTATCGGTTGGCGGGAAAAAAAACGACGCAGCACGTGACACCTTGCAGGAGAGAAGCGCGCGCGTGAGCCACGTGACCCAATCTCCGCCCACCCCTCCCCCCACCCGTGACCCCCCCACCGCCCACCCCTCCACTCACCCCTCCCCTCCTCCACCCACCCATGACCCCCCCTCCCCCCACCCGTGATTCCCCCCACCCCTCCCCCCAACCCCTGACTCCACCTCCCCCCACCCCTCCCCCCACCCGTGACCCCCTCCCCCCACCCCTCCGCGGGTGACCACGTGACCCCCTCCCCCCACCCGTGACCCCCTCCCCCCACCCCTCCCCCCACTCGTGACTCCACCTCCCCCCACCCCTCCCCCCACCCCTCCCCCCACCCGTGACTCCACCTCCCCCCACCCCTCCCCCCACCTCTCCCCCCACCCGTGACCCCCTCCCCCCACCCCTCCACCCACCCTCCCCCCCACCCGTGACCCCTCCCCCCACCCTCCGCGGGTGACCACGTGACCCGCCACGAGCGCGCGACCGCCACCGACCGACCGATCGCGACGAATTCGGCAGCAATTTCAAGAAAGTTCGCGCCTTTAAAACGTTACGCGCATATAACAACAAGATCGACAGACATGCCAATAATAGTCGTGCAATATCACTGTCATAGTAGTAGCAGCAGTAATCGACAGCTGTCGACTGATTAATTAACAAGTTTTTTTTTGTTGGTTTGAAATTTTTTAAAAAAAATTGTTTGTTTTTATGAACGCAAGTGCCGTGGGTTTGTTAAGTGAAATAAATATATCGGTGTAAAGTAAAAAAAAACCGTGAACATTATCTTGCCAAGATGAGCAGCGGCTACAGCAGCCTGGACGACGATGTGGAGATGGAGCAGTTCTTCACCGCGAAGCCGACGTTCATACAACGCGCAAGGAATCGCTTCATCTTGGAAAAGGTAAAATATTAAAAATAACATTCTAGATTTGAAGCTTTCGTGACTGCAATGATTCATATTCTTAGGTTTTTTTCGGTAAAGTAAAAAAAAAGTAAAAAAAAAAACCTAAGAATATGAATATTAAAAATAACAAACAAAAAAACACAACCCACACCGCTTATATTCATAGCACATTTAACTCAACGACTTTGTCATGATTTAAAAAAAAATGTGTGTGTGTTTGAAGACTTAAAGTGCGGACAATTCACGCGATAGTGGTAATAAAAGGTGCTTTCGTTAAAGTAAAATAATTATCAAAGAGTATGATATTCTTGCAGTCACGAAAGCTTCAAATCACGATTGTTACATCGCGAATGGAGTGGATTGTGATCATTGATGACCATCACCACCAGCACTGGTCAATCGCTCAATCTTGTATTGGGGAAGGGCTCTCGGCCGAAACGTCGGGGAATAACTTTCGTTAAAGTCAAATAATTATCAAAGAGTATGATATTCTTGCAGTCACAAAAGCTTCAAATCACGATTGTTACATCGTGAATGGAGTGGATTGTGATCATTGATGACCATCACCACCAGCACTGGTCAATCGCTCAATCTTGTATTGGGGAAGGGCCCTCGGCCGAAACGTCGGGGAATAACTTTCTAACGTTCAGTCGCCAATGCTTTTCATTGATCGATGTATTATGAGATAATAGTTTGAAGCCATCTATCGATCCACTGCTGTATGAAGGATGTCTCCAGGGTGGGTGGTTGTTTGACCATAATCAACGTTTTTGTGGGGTTAGATCGCGTTATTTATAAATGTGTCGTAACCCTCCACCACCCGACACGGCCAATCAGTAAAAAAAGTGTCACGTTGACAAAAGACAAAATAGTTCACTGCTTTAGCCCCACACCGGTGCAGTGTTGAATCGTGAAACCACAATATTTACAATTTGAGTTGTACGACGTTTCGCTGGTAATTGCATCCAGCATCATCGGGCAATTCGCCGTGGTGGAGGGTTACGACACATTTATAAATAACGCGATCTAAACCCAAAAACTTTGATTGTGAATCATATTGGTCGCGAAAGCCTGCCACGTGTGAGACTGTTTGACCATACTTCACCACGCCGGTTCACTGCGGGTTTTGGTGAAGGTCGGTCTCGCATGTCACTCGCCACTGCTAGCTAGCCGTGGCAGGGACGTGTGTTTTTATTCTACAATATTCGTGTACCCTTAACTAAGTTGTAAAACGTTTATTTTTTAACAATTCGATAAAATACCACTGGTAACGTTTTAACTGAATGTATTCATTACTAACCATGCGTTACGTAACCGACAAAAACCTCACAAGTGTAAAATGTAAAAATTAACCCGTAAAAACAAAGTTTTTCACTATAAATCCTTTATATGCGTGGCGGCTAGAGTCCTCTCGTCCTCTGGCTTGAGATGGCTGCCACCTATGGGTCAGATGATTGCCTGCCACCATTAAGCAATTGGTAATTAAATATTTAAAAAAAAATCCTAAAAGAAATTGTCACGCACAACGAGTCTGTGTGCAAAATGTCAGCTCGATTGGATCACGGGAAGTGGGTTCAAAAACGACCGAAAGATTTGCACGGTCGTAAGCGCGCAAGCAAGCAAGCAAGTGAACTTAATATAAAGGATTTAAAAACTCAGTTATTACCCATAAATAATAACAAGGTGCCATCGGCTTCTGTGGTGGCGGCGTTGTGGGCAGCAGAGGGAAGCGCTGCAAAAACGTCGTATTTCTTGTACTGTACTTCTATGCTTCCGACAGCTACGGTGCCAACCTGCACCGACCAGCGTGGGTGAATTGTGGTTAAATAACACCCACGTGGGTGGTGAATTGTGGTTAAATAAAACCCACGTGGGCGAAGTGTGGTTAAATGACACCCACGTGTGTGAATTGTAGTTAAGTAAAACCCACGACCCAGGAAGGACCTCATCCAGCAGTGGATTTACAAACGGGCTGTACGGTGCCGTGTCCAAACTAGACAGAAAATAATCGATTCGCGAATCGCATCGTGGCAATTCATTGTATCATGGGTGGCGTTTTTAGTCATCAGCCATCATCAACGCTGCTCATCATCGCGAGGGGGATAAGTAAAATAAGTACCACTTTGTTCACTTACCTAGGAATGCCTTCTTGCATGTATACACCGAGTAATCAAAATTGACTGGATTGCTATGTGTATGTATACGTGTGTGCGTGTGCGTGAGTGCATTGAGTGTTGAGGGTTGATAAGGGAAAGAAGTTGGTGCAAAACTGCTGACCGCAATTGCACATTATCAGTACCCTGCACATTTACTTTGAGGCCAGATACAGTTCTATTTTGAAATAGTGAAATTCCCGATAATGGTGAAATGCCAGGAAGGCAATAACACACGAAAGCCCCCTACAAAAAAACTTTGCTTCAACGTAAAGAAGCCATCACCCCTAAAGAAATGCGAATTTGTAACATTCTTCAAAATGGGACCATTTCTAAAGCACAATTAGCGGTTAAACGGATGAAAATACATCATCGGGATTACGTCCTGGCACATTTGCAATCATTGCGGGCGCTGAAACACTGTGACTCTCTCGATGAGCGAGTAGCAGCGATTCGTTGAACACGCATCCCTCGTGAACTATTTGTCTTTTGTCAACGTGACACTTTTTTGCTGATTGGCCGTGTCAGGTGGTGGAGGGTTACGACACATTTATAAATAATAACGCGATCTAAACCCAAAAACGTTGATTATGAATAATATTGGTCGCGAAAGCCTGCTACGTGTTAAACTGACGCATCCATTCGCGACCACAAATCTGGCTGTCGCATGATGATGCTCGTTGCAATTACTTACTCGAATTGTAAATGTTGTCGATTTGCTCTCCAACACACACCGGTTTGCTGTACTAGTAACCAATTGGCATGTTCTGTTTCCTTGACAAACCTTACTTATTGTTTTGGAGCAGCGAATACTTAAGCCAGCGTACGCATAAAATACTTCAGTCGATTTTTTTTCCCCCTCACAAGCACGCGTTCATCCACAACCCGTATAATCTGTCAACGGATAATCCAGAGTCGACTGACTTGTCTTGTAATTTTTATGAGAAGAACCTAAATCCATTCGGTCTCCACATTCACCGGCCTACATCATGGGACCTACTTTGCAAGTACCAAAATATACTAATAGGGGTTTTCCCCTTTTTTTCTGGCAACAAAACTGACACCTTTTGCAAGGAATCATGTTTACATATTTGCAGCCAAATGCAAACAAAAAACAATACTCTGATAATTTGTGTATTTTCCTTGAAAGTGATTGGTCCACACCAGAGACAGCTTTCTTTAGAGCCTAGTCTCATATGGTGTTCGACCAGATGACGCCAAAAGGCATACTCACTCTAAGAAAAGCTGAGAATTCCAGAATTTTATTTTGGCGTGGGACACCTGGACGATTGGTAGAGACACTGTCAGAGGAAGAGGTGTTTTGTTTTTTGTGTTTCAGTTCTGGTTAATTCAGTTATAGGTAATTCACAATACTTAATATCTGCCCTGGATTATGGCTAATAAAAGAATAAACACACAATTATTTATTTCATGTTGAACCCGGTGGCTTGTTAAATGGGTGTTGCTGACAGATGCCTGGTGTTAAGGGTAGATTTGAAGCTTTCGTGACTGCAAGGATTCATCTTCTTGGTTCTTTCGGTAAAGTCACATAGAAGGGAAATAATAAAATCTGTTGGAAAGACCTGTTATTCACCTGAGGACGGCTGCTTGCGTTGTGGCCGAAACGTCGTGAGAATTATTTTATGATGTTTTATTTTTATTATTTTATTATTTCCCTTCTACGTGACTTTACCGAAAGAACCAAGAAGAGAAATAAAATAATTTCTTTATTCTATTTCTATTATTATTTATTTTATTTCTATTATTAATCCTATTATTTTTACCTACGTGACTTTACCGAAAAAAACCTAAGAGTTTGGGTGTTAAGAGCTCGCCACTTACCCTTTGGTAGGATTCCATTCAGAGCAGCGATGTTCGAGTCTGTTCTCCTATAACGTGGTAGTGTAGTTGCGTTCCTAAAGAACACCGCGTTATGGAAAATTCGCGTTAGAATAATCACGTGAAATGCATATGCAGACCTGAACAGAGAATCAGAGGCGCGTTGACAGCATAATAAATTAACTTGAACTTGAAATGAACTTGATCTAGAAGCATCCAGTAACTTCCCGCCTTGTGTGATGCTACACCGAGGCAGCCGCTTACTACTACTCCTGCAACGTAGTTCTGTTCACTCAATCGCGTTATATCCAGTTCGCATCAGCGTTATACAAAATGCGTTCCCGAATACATTCATCGCGTTACGTCTAATTCGCATTATTAAAACACGCGTTACAGAGGTCGCAAACGGGTTTTGATTCCTTACCCGTACCCGGCCGCACCAGGGTCGCAAATGGGTACCCGTACCCGGCCGTATGCTACCCGTACCCTACCCGAAATGAGTGACAAACGGTTACTCACCAATGATTCACGGCCTACCCGTACCCGTACCCGTCGCACCAGGGTCGCAAACGGCTACCCGTACGGGCAGCTGAGTATCGAGTAGGGTACGGGTATCGGGTACCCGGTTGCGACCTCTGACGCGTTATAGGGAAACAGGCGTTATTGTACTCAGACGGTTTTAGACCATGGAACAGGACTCGAACCTTGATGATCAGCAGTGATGAGCAATAGTCCCTGTGGCTGCCGAGCCAGCAAGAGGCAGCTGCTACGGTGGGTGTGAAGGGGGTGTACGGACACCCCAAGTATTTTGATATGGCTAACAGACGCCCTGAAATTTTTTTTTTTAATGTGATGAAGAAACAGTCACGGCATTTTGTTTTACATGGCTATGAGACACCACAAAATGTTTGACAAAAAATTCTGATGTTTTTTTTTGTTCAGCAAGATGACATAAATGCTGATTACGCAAATGATGAAACATTTAAATACACAGAAGTGAGTTAA